TGTTCTCACAACAGAAGATCATTTACACTAAAGGTCTGAGAATGCTCCCTTCTGAAATTACAATAGTTCTGGAGTTTGAATATCTTCATGCCAAAATTTGTTGATCATTGTCAAGCTTAAGTCATTGCTACCTGCCAAAACAGATGAATGTCTGAAAACTGTCACCATTTCTGTTGCCATGAGTCCACTGCAATGTCATAGCCACTGTCTACCAAAATACACCTTATTTGGATAGCCGTCACCTTACCCAGCCACCAGTCATTCACAGCCCACTGGATCACACCATCTCTGACAACATCGTGTTGTCATTCTTTACAGTTGTATGATTTTTGAGTGATCTTTTTTTTTTGAGTGATCATTTTTTTAATTAAAAAAAATTCTTTGGGCACCTGGGTGCCTCAGTTGGTTAAGCCTCTGCCTTTGGCGCAGGTCATGATCTCAGGGTCCCGGGATTGAGCCCTGCATTGGGCTCTCTGCTCAGCAGGGAGCCTGCTTCCCTCCCTCTCTCTCTGCCTGCCTCTCTGCCAAATAAATCTCTCTCTGTCAAATAAATAAATAAAATCTTAAAAAAAAAATTTTTAACTGTGGTAAGATACATGTAAGATTTACCATCTTAACAAGTTTTATATGTACAATTCACTGACAGCCAGTATATTCACATTGTTGTATAACCATCACTACATCTATCTCAGGAATATTTTCGGCATCCCAAACTGAAACCCCGTACCCATTAAACTTCCCAGCTCCTGGTAACATTATTCTAATTTTTCTCTGATTTTGACTACTCTAGGTCTCTCTTATAAGTGGAATCATACAGTATTTGATCTTTTGTGACTAGGGACATTTCACTTAGCGTGTACTCAAGGTTCATCCATGTAGTACCGTGAGCCAGAATTTCACCCTTTTTAAAGCTTAAATAATATTCTGTTGTATGTATATAGCACATTTTGTTTATTCATTCATCCACTAATGGACACCGGGCTGCTTCCACCTTTTGTGGCAACTGTGAATAATGCTGCTATGAATATTGGTGCCTAAATATTTGTTCAAGTCCCTGCTTTCAATTCTTGTGTGTACATAACAATAAGTAAAATTGCCAGATTAAATGGTGATTCTGTTTTTACTTTTTTTTAAAGAAGTAAGCTCTACACCCAACATGGGGCTTAAACTCAATGACCCCAAAATCAAGAGTCCCATACCTTTCCAACTGAGCCAGCCAGGCACTCCTGTCTTTTTTGAGGAACTGCCATACTGTTTTCCACAGTGGTTGTACCATTTTACATTCCTACTAACAGTGTATGAGGGTTCCAATTTTTCCACATTCTCACCAACATTTGTTATTTCCTTTTTGGACTGCAGCCATCCCAGTGGGTATGATGTAGTACCTCACGGTGGTTTTGATTTGCATGTCTCTAGTGAGCTGTGATGGTGAGCATCTTTTCAGGTGCTCATTAGCTCTTTGTTTCTCTTCCTTAGAAATATCTACTCAAGTCGTTTGCCCATTTTCTACTTGGATTGATGGTTTTTTGTTGTTGTTGAGTTGCAGGAGTTCTTTATGACCTAGATATTACCCTTCATCAGAAATATGATTTGCAAATATGTTCTCCCTTTCTGTTCATTGCCTAGTCACTGTTAACTGTATTCTTTGAGCACAGAAGTTTTTAATTTTGATGTAGTCCAGTTTATCTGTTTTTTTTCTTTTGTTGCCTATACTTTTGATGTTATAGCCAAGAAATTATTGCCAAATCCAATGTCATTAAGTTTTTTCCCTGTGTATTCTTCTAAGAGTTTTATGGTTTTAGCTCTTATATTTAGATCTTTGATCCATTTTGAAGTAATTTTTGTGTGTGGTGTAAGGTAAGATTTCAACTTCATTTTTTTGCATGTCAATGTCCAATTTTTTCCAAACTGTTAAAAGGACTGTCCTTTCCCCCAGTGCATGGTATTGATAACCTGACTGAGACTAATTTGACCATATATGTGAAGATTTATTTCTGGGCTCTTTATTCCATTGGTCTATGTGTCTACTTTAAGCAGAGTGTTTACTTTTAGTATCATTTTTAACAACTCTGAACAATTACGATGTTTGGCATTGCCGATTAAAGGTCTTTCACTATAATCTGCTTCCATACATGTTCTACCAAAAAGCTGTACTTCCTTAAGAGCCAAGACCACATCTAGTTATCCTTGTAACCTCAGTGTCTGACATCGTTTCTGACACATAGTAGGTGTTCCAAAAATATGTGAACCACATGTGGCAAGATGCTGGTAAGTGACTTTTGCTCACCACATGGCCACCTTGTCAATGCATTCTTAAAAGAGATTAAACACCACAATGTATCAATAAAAAATGTCTACTTTAGGGGTGCCTAGGTGGCTCAGTGGGTTAAGCCTCTGCCTTCGGCTCAGGTCATGGTCTCAGGGTCCTGGGATTGAGCCCCACATCGGGCTCTCTGCTCAGCAGCGAGCCTGCTTCCCCCTGTCCCCTCTGCCTGCCTCTCTGCCTCCTTGTGACGTCTCTCTCTGTCAAATAAGTAAATAAAATCTTAAAAAAAAAAAAAAGTCTATTTTACTGAAGAATTCTTGGGGAGGCAGGAAGGAAAGTTTATATTGCATACAATATGGCAAGATTTCATAAAAATTCCTTCAAATATTTCTCTTCTTTTCTTTCCCTCAAAGTCTTCTCTCCTGCCACTACCTCATTTTCCTTCCTCCTCTTCTTCTTCCTTTAACTCATCCTTTAAAAAAATATGCTCTATTGTTCCAAAGCTGTTCAGTCCTCAGCCTTACAGTGCCAACCTACTCAGACAAATAAGAGCCTGGCAGTTGGTTAATGGAGCAGAACCATCTACCTTCTTCAAGCTTAATGCTTAGGAGCTCATCGTCACCACCCCCAACAGCTGATCAAAGTGTTTACCCCATCTACATGGGTTTCCTGGAAAGAGGGGGAGGGTAGGGGAGATACCAAGAGAGGTAGGAATCTACCTCTAAGAAAATAAAGACTTTTCTCCACTGAGTTACAAAGATACATTGAATAAATGAATCAAGATTATCACCATTGGGACGCCTGGGTGGCTCAGTTGGTTAAGCAGCTGCCTTCGGCTCAGGTCATGATCCCAGCATCCTGGGATCGAGTCCCACATCAGGCTCCTTGCTTGGAGGGGAGCCTGCTTCTCCCTCTGCCTCTGCCTGCCATTCTGTCTGCCTGTGCTCGCTCTCTCTCCCTCTCTCTCTCTGACAAATAAATAAATAAATATCTTTAAAAAAAAAATAAAGTACTCTCTTAAAAAAAAAAAAAAAGATTATCACCATCAAGTGTTAGTCAATGTCAAGACATCTGCCAGAAGCCACAGTTTCTTCTAATGCTAACTCCTTCTCCTGCTAGACCCTGGTCAATCACTCCTTAGTAGACTCCTAGCCTAACAGAGACCACAGCAAACTTCTGGGTCTGAGATACAGAGCCCTCTGGGTCACTAAGATATCACTGGTCTTGCTTTCTCTGGTCCTGTGGGTCTCTAATGCCTGAGCCCATGTGTCTTGCTGGGCCCTCCTTTGTTGGCATTCAGGCTCTATCTATCTTATGCCCTCTGGTCCATAGAAGTGCTTTGACCATCATTACCTCCCAGGTACTGCTTCCAGCCCCACCCTCATCTGTGCTGTCTGGACGTGGCCCTCTTCTACTCTAGTTTCACTGCTTCACTTCCATCCTGAACACTGGACGCTGAGCTTTCCAGAAAAATAGGAGTGGGAAGAAAAGAGTCTCCTGTTACTTAAACACTTACTGTCTCAAGCGCTGTGACTAAGGGCTCTTAACCAACATAAATGCGTTGAATACTACTCTGCCACTCACAAGATATGTGACCTTGGGCAAGTTACTTGACCTCTCTGTGCCTAGGTTTTCTCATATTGAACGTAGAGCTAATAATAGTAAATAATATAGAAAATGCTCAACTCATGTTCACTGTTGATACTCTTATGATCACTTCTCACATGCACTGACTTCATTTAATCCTCACAAAAATCTTGCAAGGTAAGTATTATTCTCCTTGCCTCAACACGTTTTTCAGAAAAGAAAACTAGAGTTCAGATAAAGGAAATCACCCATGGTTACAGTGCTAGTAAGTAGTGGCAACTAGACCTCAACTTGGTCTGTTTGACCCCCAGACCCCTTGTCCTTTCATCATCCCAGGTTTCCTCCAAAGGCAACTACTTACAAGACAGGGAATGGTTAAGATTCCTTGGGGAAAAGTAAGCGGCAAGAGGCCACCAGCTGGGGCAATTACTTTTTGGAGCATATTCAGGAAGTAATGAAGGGAAATGGAATGAGTATTAAACCAGACTTAAAATAAGCCACCTTGCCGCTCACTGGCTAAGTACACAGGCAACCAATCCTCAAATCCCTCCTCCGAAAAATGGGAATGATAATACAATGTTTTCGTAACAATAATAATAACAGCCCTGTGTGGGGAGCACACAGTGAGAGAGCAGTAAATTAGATGCACTGTACGCCATGTGCAAGTACTCTACGTATTATGAAATGTGTCACAAATGTAAGCTTACTAAATCAGTAATATTATTAATTTTACTAAATGTAAAATTACCAAATAGTGCAAGAGATAGTCTTTGAATCCAAAAGAAATGGGGTGAAATCACAGTAGCTGGATGGGTTATTTCACTTCTCTGAGCCTCAGTGTTCTCACAAATGGGAATGTATCATATTCTCAGTTGTGAGCAACAGAAAACTCAACTCCACAGACATCTGCATGAAAAAGGAATTGATTCCACTTCAAGTATTTGAGCTAGAGTTTAGGCATGCAAACAATGTTGCCAAGTCACAGGCTCTCTCTTGAACTTTTCACTCTGTCTTTAAAAGCATTGTAATATTCTCCTTCAATAGTAGCCATCCCCCACCAACACAAAAGGATTAGATGCAGCCCCCTAAACAATCACAAAGCAGAAAACTCTTTATTGCCAAAGTTCCAAAATTAATTTTCACTGACCTGGCTTGGATCATGTGTTCATTCCTAAACCAATCGTTGAAGCTGGGAAATAGTAATATTCTGGTTGGTCACGCCCGGAATAAGATGGATGGGTGAGCCCCATCAGAAACCTATGAGCTGAGAATGGGGTGCGGGGCTGATTCTCCAAGAGACAAAATGCTATTACCTGAAAAACAGGCAATGGATACTAGGCCTGCAGCAACAGATGTCCATGACAGAGGATGCGATGGCCTCGTGGTAGAACTGTCTCCAGGTTTAAATGAGCCCTGAAAATAAATAGGTGATTGTGGTGATTATAGAGGAGGGCAGGGCTCTGCAAAGTAAATTCTGAGCTCCTATCAGTTGGAGGAGAAGCAAAAGGAGCACCATGACTGAGGCAAATGCAGAAGGTCCTAGGATGGGCGGTAAGGCATTGGATCCCACACACTGGACTGGTGCTTGGGCAAAAGTCAAGGTCAGCCCACAAGAGGCAGGTTTAGGGCTCAGAATGGTCAGGTAACAAGATATGGCTGGGACTGCAGCCAAGAGGCCAATGCTAGTGAAGCTGTGGCTCTGGCTTTTGGTTGAGTGGACAGCTTGTCCCTCTAAAAAGGGCCAGGCCCTGCAGGCAAAAAAAACCATAGCAACCACAAGTTAAGGAAGACGGATGAAAAGCTTGTAAACACAGCTTCCAGCCATGTGGCATAGCTTTGGGCTCCTAGGAGACAGCCACATAAAGACCAGTCTGGCTCATGGCGACCAGGCAAAGGGGACTATTTCTGGGCTCAACTGTGGGCTGACACAGAGTCTGCAAACCAGACAGGCAAACAGGCAGTGCAAACAGAAATCACGGCTGTGAAAGCAGAGTCTTCTTGTGTTGCACTGCTGTTTGTTCACGAGTGCGCAGGGGCCAAGCTTGCTCTCTGCCCGCCCTGGTTCGTGCCCACCCCTCCTCCCATCCCCATGCAAACTTCCTACCCAGCCGCAGAACTGGGTGGCAAGTGACCGTTTAGATGGTGGCAACTGTGAAACCCACTAAGGAGCTCTGTGCTGCCCTGTCATAAATAACCAGCTGCCTCATACAATTTCCTGAGCTGCACAATCAGCAGTGACAATCTGCCTTTCTGTCCATCAGTGGGCAATGACTGTAGGTCCTCAGCTGGATGCTGATAACTCCATTTTTCAAGGCCGTGGCTGGACCCACTTTTCACCACTGAAGAGTTAACCATTACTCTGCAGTGCTGGGTATGACAGTACCCACCCAGAACAGACATTTAATAGGATATAAAATCTTTCTCTCCAGTCTGATTTTCCAAAGAGAAAAAGAGGAAAAAAAAAATCGGCAAACTCTTTTTGCCTGATAAATACTTGAAATTTTAGGTGCACAGAACCCAAACAGTAACTATGGCAACACAAGCCACTCCAGTAAGACTAACACAGATTACTTCCAGCACAATAGCCTGGCTTGTGCTCAGAAAGCAGAGGTAATGTTGGCTGAAAGCAATTCCTGATTGGGGTGGGGTGGGGGTTGGCCAGGGGAATGAGGAGTGGGTAAAATCCTCTGGCAATAGAAGCTTCATGCTCAGGTTTCTGGTTTCAGGCCTCTAGAATTCAGTGGCAAGATGGATTAACTACTGGATTAATATCTTGCCTCTCCACACTAATGAGCTGGCGGCCTCTTCGTCCTCTGCTTGGGCTTCTTCACTTCCAACCACAAAGCCACTCAAACCCCACGACTGACAGAGATAGCACTAAGAAAATGGGCTGTGAAAATAATAGAATCAGACAAACAGTTTGACTGGATGTTACGCATCACCCAGAACGGGAGACTCTTAAAAACAGGAGAATGTGACCCATGGTTGGTAAAACTCTATCCAACCTCATTTATTTTATAGATGGGAAAACTGAGACCCAGGAAACTTGGGAGAATTGGCCATGTTCCGTCAGAATCAGGAGGTCACGTGGACTCCTGGTTAAGGCCACTGGCATGTAGGGCCAGACTGAATGGGGTTTGCATACTAGCTATTAGACTCTGGGTGAGTCGGTTAACCTCAATGAACCTGAGTTTACTTACTTAAGAATAATAATTATGATAATAATAATAAAAAAGCCTACCTTTTAAGGTTGTTATAAGAATAAATGAAGTAGGGGCGCCTGGGTGGCTCAGTGGGTTAAAGCCTCTGCCTTCGGCTCAGGTCATGATCCCAGGGTTCTGGGATGGAGCCCCTCGTCAGGCTCTCTGCTCAGCAGGGAGCCTGCTTCCCTTCCTCTCTCTCTGCCTGCCTCTCTGCCTACTTGTGATCTCTGTCTGTCAAATAAGTTAAAAAAAAAAAAAAAGAATAAATGAAGTTACCCATATACTTAAGATAAAAAAGGTACCCCCAAAATAATTGATATTGTTATTAATGCATAAGCCAGAACTAAACCAATTATTCTCCAGAAGACTTGTGCACAATGCAAGAAGAAATCCAACTTCACCTCAATCCATTTCCTGTTTTTTCCATACCCCACCTTTTTTGCCACAAACTGACCATTTAACCAGTTAACATTTAACAATCTTCTTTTTTTTTCTTTTTAAAGATTTTATTTATTTACTTGAGAGAGGGAGCATGAGAGGGGAGAAGGTCAGAGGGAGAAGCAGACTCCCTGCTGAGCAGGGAACCCGATGTGGGACTCCATCCTGGGACTCCAGGATCATGACCTGAGCTGAAGGAAGTCACTTAACCAACTGAACCACCCAGGCCCCCCATCACAATCTTCTTTTTTTAAAGATTTTATTGATTTATCTATTTGAGAGAGAGAGAGAGTAGGGAAAGGAGCAGAGGGAGAGGGACAAGCAGACTCCATGCTGAGCATGGAACCTGATGGGGGGCTCAATTCCAGGACCCTGAGACCATGACCTGAACCAAAATCAGGACTCGGCCATTTAACCAAATGAGCCACCCAGGCGGCCCAGATTTAACAATCTTCTCTTAAGGCAGTGTTTCTCAAACATTTTGGTCTCAGGATCCTTTTCCACACTTATTCCCACACAAAATTTATTGAGGATTCCCAAAGAGCTTTCATTTATATGGATTTTTTTTTTTTATTTTTTAAAAGATTATATTTATTTGACAGAGAGAGAGAAAGCACAAGCAGGGGGAGTAGCAGGCAGAGGGAGAGGGACAAACAGGTTCTCTGCTGAGCAAGGAGCCAGAGGCTGATGTGGGGCTCAATCCCAGAACCCTGGGATTAGGACATGAGTTAAAGGCAGATGCTTACCTGACTGAGCCAAGCAGGCACCCCTATATGTGTCTTTTAAACTATGTATTAGTTTATTTTAAAATAACAATAAGCTCATTAAATGTTGAAATATAACTTTTTTCCAAAACAAAAAAATACTTAAGATTAATGCAAATCTCTTTAAGGTCCGGCTTGACAGAGAACAGCTAGGTTCTCATACCTGCTTCTGCATTCAATCGATTGTGATATACTATTTCAACTGAAGTATATGAGGAAAATACAGTCTCGTAGGGATATATAGTTGGAAAAGGGAAGGATATTTAAATAGCAGTTCAGATAATTGTGAATTTTCTTCTTTGATACTACCTCAAAACTCAGCAAGTGGTAGTTTCTTAAAGATTAGTTGCAGGTAGAATCTGAAACCACATCAGTGAAATTTTCATACTCTATAACAATCTATTGGCTTATCAAGCACTTTGAATGGATTTTTTTTTTAACTTACGCATGATTTTTTAACATCATGCATTGGTCATTTGGAAAACATTGGCACAGATCTTCCAAATGTCACGTTTCACTGTAGAAGATCACATTCATTAACATCACTACTAATCTCATGAGATAAGTCTTTATTGGGAAGCTGTCAAGTTCATAGTAACCTATTCTAATTCTCACTTGAAAGCTTGAATTTGATCTTTGGTAACAGATCCTTCACAGGCTCATTTCACAGGCTCATTTCAATTATTTTTGAGAAATTTTCTGCCACATACCCTAGCTGGAGTAACGATAGTTTTCATTAAGATAATTTAAAAAAAAAAAAAACAAGGTAAAAACCATAACTCTCATACAGATATAAATGCATACACATTAAAGGTTTTATTTAACTCACAATGAGAGAACCAAGCAGATGTTTAAAGCAGTTCAAAGAAGTCCAAGAAGCACAAATTTATAATGAATAGAAGGATGTTCTATGTGCAAACAGCACAAAACGGGCTTTTTCAAAGAGGGGAAAGGGTGTCCCTCACCAGGTGGGATTCGTTTGCATCTCCACAGACGAGAATTCTTTCACATTGCTATCAGTTATCTACAACTTAGAGAGTTGTAAAATAACTCCATAGAATCACACCGGGGCTAAGCACGTGCTACATACAGGCCACGCAGTTTTCCTCTGAAGCGCAGATCTTCCCCCAGTCTTCTGTCGCCCATTCTTTCAAGTAAAAATGAAGGTTTTTTGGAAAAAAACAGCTAGTTCAGCTCACAACTCAGCACAATTGCACTTCCTGAGACAATCATCCTACACTGGTATGCAACGTAAGTAACCCTTGAAGTATGGTGCCACTGCCTTATTTCTGCTAAGTTGCCAGTTGAGCTGCCGTTGCTTTTACACCATTAGCGCAAATGCCAACACAATGAAATGACAGATAATGGTCTTAATAATCATCTGATACTTATAGATTAATAAATAATTTTGACCTTGAGGACCCCCTGACCAGGTCTTAGGAATCCTAGGGGGATACTTTTAGAACCACCACCCTAAGGTATATAGTTGAGGGAGGAAATGATCTAAAAAAAGAATGAGCAGAAGCACCTGACTGGCTCAGTTGGTAGAGCATGGGACTCTTGATCTTGAGGTCATGAGTTCAGGCTCCCCACTGGGCACAGAGCTTACTAGAGGGGCAAGAAAAAAAAAAAAAAAAAGGAAGAAGAAGATGAAAAGAGCCAAACATCTGCAAACTGAATAATCAGTTTGCCTAGAGAGGGAAAAGTTATCAACGAAAATCTAAGAACAGTGCCATGGTGTTGGGGACGAAAAGAATATAAACACAATAATAAAACCTACTGAAAGTTACTATGCTTTGTTATTACTAGATA